TCCACATCCACAGTCACTGTACTCTTCCTCTTTTGAGAATCTCAAAGCAGCCTACCAAACAGTCTATATCCCAACGTAAAGGGTATAAGGACAGCCAGAGTGGTTTTTCCTCTCGCTTGTACGTCAAATCGCACCTCTCATGTTTATGTTTTACGCTTCGTGAGTGCCTTTAAACCAAAACATTCAAACTCTTTGGCATTTATTTTGATTTTTTCTCTGGACGTTCATATCTTTTTGCTTCTTGTCATCAAGTTTATAAAAAGAAATTAAAAAGTCTAATTTACTGTCGAGATAAATAATTGTTTTTTTCTGCGCATATACATTCAAAGTGAAATGATATTTCCATCTGACTTCTATTCGATGGTATAGTAAAATAACTTGTCCCCCGGATAAAATGTTCCACAAAAATCTCCTCGAGAAAAACAAATGTCGCAACAAAGTTAATATATTTTTGCTAATTAATTGACAATTTGCTCCCGAATTGAATTTTTGTGCAGATGTATTTTTAATTTAATTTTATGATTCATTGCATTTAACATTGCCTCAACACTAGCGGCCATCATTACCCCAATGTTGGTAGCCAACATTGCCCCAACGTTAGAACTTTTTTACACGGTTTTTTACAATTCTACTGGATTTCTAGTGAACTTTCTATTAGTTTTTGGCCGATTCTATTGAAATCTTCAATAGAAAATTTTCTATTGAAAAAGTCAAAAGAATTTGATTTTTCTATACAGTTTTCTCTATTGAAATAGTTTCTATAAAATTTCCTCGGCTCAAAATTTTTCAAATTTTTTTGTTTGATTTTCTTAATGAAAAGAGAAAAAAAAATAGAATGAAAAAAAAATTGATGAATAATATTTAGTGGTTCTAGGTCCCTTGCAATCAGGAGGGGGAAGAATATTTTAAATCATAATTGGGTGAGAATTTAATTGGGTGAGAAAATAAGTCGCTTGCACACGTAGGAAAAAATTGTATAGAAATCTTCTATACGGATTACGTATAGAATTTCTATAGGATTTTCGTATATGATATTCGGATATTTCTATACGGATATTTTTTATACAAATTATTTCTATACGATATCTACAGGTTTGATCCTATACGACCCATTGCCACATGTATAGAAACATTTCCTATGGAGTTGCAACATCTTTCTACATTTTTCTCTGGAGTGTTTAGACATCTTTCGTAGGGAAACAAAAATTTATGAAAAAATTCATGTAGAGAAATAATTCGTATAGAAAATATTTGTATAGAAATATCCGAATATGATATATGGAAATCCTATAGTATTTCTATACGCAATTCGTATAGAAAATTCCTATAGGATTTTTTCATAGGTGTAATCGATGATAGAACACCAACGATGTACACATTTCGAAAAATTAATAAAATCCGGGAAAATTACCTTCATTTTTACGATTCATTGAGCAATGATTAGTCGAAATTAAGTCTCCTGAATATCATAACCCAGCACAAATCTTAATTCAGGGGAGAAGACATGAAACGACATGTGGCACTCAAATCCGAAAAAATTATTTTTTGAACTATATCGCGGAATGCAAAGGAGATATATAGAGGGATTTTTGTATTGGCCATTTTTGCAGGCGTCATCCTTCCCTACAAGAAAGGTCCTGACCAAGAAATTGATGACCGTATGAAACTTTCTTTTAGAGTTTGCCATTCCAAAATACACAGATACCTAAAAAACAACATTTTTTTTCGAAAAGCGGAGAAAATTTGCGATAAAATCTATAAGTTCAAATTTTTTCGTTATTCTTAGTGGCTCGTAATTAGAATTGCAAAAAAAACGTTTTCAGAAGAAAAAAAAGTCAATCTTCAATATCTCAGCCAATAAAACTGAGTTAGAGAGCTTCGTTTGCGCTCATTTTTCTCCTTTTGGACTATCCTTTCCGAAAAAAATAGAAAAAACCTTTTGAAATTTGGAGGCAATTTTTCGTATACAGAATTGCCGGTACGGTCTAGTTCTTTCTGTCATTTGTTTAGTGCCTAAACTTTAGGCTGTTAGGCTACTTTCGGATTGACGTTGCCAACGTATCAATTGCTGAGAGGATGTTTACTCTAAAGTACGCCTGCACCTCTCCGCACAAAGCCATCTCGGTCCCGAGTTATGCTCATACGGCCTCAGTATTTAACGTCTCTGAAAAATCTCTCTACAAACTTTCATATTCATATATTCCTCTTTCAATCGTAATTTCATTTTACTTTTGATGCATTTGATTTTTTATGTAATTTAATCATAAAAAATTAATTTAATATTAATTTAATGAAAAATTCATAGATTAATTTGTCAATTAATCTATTCTCGAGGCTGAAGGCAAGTGCACGTTTGTCTGAGGGGATTTTTTGGGGGATTGGAAGCTGTCAGCTTGTTCAGTAAAAATTGTTTGGAGTCAAAAGTATACGTCTGTAATTATCACATTCTTCGGATGAATGAACGAAAGTTGGAGGATAAAAAAGAATTCTTTACGAAGGAGGACGGAAGATATCAATCGTCACGGATATGTGACTCGAAGACAGACGCTGAACGGGTGCAAAGATCCCAACGAAAAGTTTACCTTAGCCGTGATGTAAATAACGAAGGGAGAGAAAAAAAAAGGTTACTCGCTTTTTCTCTCTCTGGGTCTGTCGTAATTTAGTCTCGCAGTATAAGTGAGACGTTTGAGTTGACAGTGTTCCGCCAACAATTCTCCGTATTTTGTCTCAATGATTCTTTCGAGAAATTTAAGGAGAGAAGTAAACGAATAGAATGAGTGAAGTTTTTTGATTGACTCGTGAGGAAGAGTGTCCCAATGTGGATCTTTGAATATTCTCCACTGTGAAAATGTGATTTTTCACGGATATATACAGGGTTAGCATTCGGGTGTTGGGTAGTCGGCGCGCATATCCGATCTCGCCGCTGGAATCCTCATATGTCTGTCAACACTGCACCCCAACACCTCTCTCGTAGCTCAAGTCACTTTGGCTACTCCAAGTATCTTATGCGGCGTTACTCTCCCTTGTGCCTTTTCGTCCAACAGACAATCCGGCGAATACTTCCACCAGAATATAACTCGTCATTTGCAACTGTTAAATTTCTTTTTAACCTTTTAATTGGGAGAAAGTTTTAGTCGACGTACTTCCTCTTGTTTTCTCTATCCCAAGAAATACAGTAGCAACTTGGACGGAAATGATTGATTATATCAGTAGGATCACGGAGAAAAAAAAATATGAAAATTAGTATATTGTGTGTAAGGGCGGAAAGTCGTGTTTTCCCCACTCAGGGTACACATGCTATTTTTAACATGCATGCAAAGAAAAGTTTGTTCTTTGCTTTCTGATGAGCAGGAGGAAAGTGAATACTTTCCACCCTAGAGCGGAAAGTACTCACTTTCCTCCCGCTTATCAGGGAATAAAGTACGAATTATCCGTGCAGGTGTGTAAAAAATAGCGTCTTCGCCTCTTAAACTGCGTTCAAATGGCTCTGAAGGGTGAAATTTATCACGAAAAGTAGGTAAAATTGACTCTACCACTAATCAACACGGAACAATTCTGTAGCGAAATAGTAAACTAGGATAAGTGCAAAAATGGAACTTTTTCATCGAATTCATCATCCCACTTCATTACGGAACAACCGAACAGCGCTCATTTCATCATACGGACAACTCATAACATATAAAATTCATCTTTACAATGAAAATAAAAAAACATGATTGAAATATTTAATCAAAATTTAATCATTTTTATTCAATTCTCTGCTTTTTTCAAATTCCCCCTGACCCCGCCATAATTCCTTTAAAAAGCAATCACTCCGAGATTTAAGCGATTAAAGATTAGTAATAGAGGATTTCATCATTAGGCTCACAAGGATTATTTTTATGTAATCACATTTGTCAGAAAATACTTTTATCGTCTGATACAAAAAAATTGCTTCGCGGCAAAGTCTACAATCGAAAAATTATTCAAGAGTGGGCTAAAATTGACACTCAAAAAAGTTGGTCCTATTCAACTTTTAATCATAAAAATTTTCAACAGACATTTTCCTACAGAATCGTGGAAAATCAGATTCAGAGAGAAATCAGAGTTGGGAGAGATATTAGCAAATAAACTTCAACTCTATTAAATTTTGTACTGAAGTATGAAATATAGAGTAGCTTTGGATTTCCTGTTTTACTATTGAAATAATTTTGAAATAATTTTTTTTTTTTAATGAACAATTGCACGCCCTACACAGCTGACCTTTTGTCCGTTTGCGAACTTCGTAAGATGGCTACTTTTCTATTTACAAAGGAAATCGTCATAAAACAATGGGGGGAGGGGAAGATAAATGAGCAAGTAAAAATTGCTTCGCCATCTCCACGACAAAAGTCAAAAACGATTTTTTTTTCAATCTGAAAATCGCAGTCATGACTAGGGTTTTAAAAATTGGATAACTTTGTTGAAACATAAAAAATTGAGGAAGAAATCCAAGTGTCCATTTTACCCCGTTTTTGCATTATCTTACAACTCCTACGTCGTAGCCTTATGGCAATGTGTTTGTTTTTATAAACTTCAAATGAAGTCGGAACAGTAGATTTGATCCAATGCAACTCCTTATTTAAATCTGGTGTCCATATTACTAGCGAAGCGGTAAAACGGTTCTAGTCGATTTTGACTATTGATCAGATTTCAGTGAATATCTCGGAATCTAAGGCAAATAGCAAAATTTTTGTCATAACCTTTTCTGCAGAGCGAATTGAGGGCTACGAACAAGGTAATTACGGAAATTTCTCTATCGTCTTTAGATTCGGAGCTATTCCTCCAAAAATCAGCTGAGAGCTAAGTTGACTTGAACCATTTTACCGCTTCGCTACTGATATTGCCTCACCCTTCCCTAATTGAAGATGTCGCCACTTCCTTGGGAGCGAGCACTGTCGATAAAACAGTACCCGAGTACAGAATGAGCAAAAGCTTCCTGGAGACGCCGCCCGTGCTGTCAAATTTCATAGGACAAAACATCCAGTTCGCTCCGATCCTCCACTATTTTCAGTGTCCCAGCCCCAATGTTTTGTGTCATAAAAACGAAATACTCAAAAAACTCAGCTGAATCAATTAATTACTCAGTATTGAATACATTTACTCTCAACCTGTTCAATTAATTGAGACACATCAAGAGTAGAAGTATCAACAAAGCTCGTGCTGTGAAATAAGATGAAAACAAAATAACCAGTGTCTAACCTCAATTCGTCTCATGGATTCTCCAGCGAGTACTCCGGGTTTTCAAGCCCTGGAAGTAGCCCGCAACAACCACGACCTTCAGATCTTCAAGAAACCAAGTGGAACCCCTCTGCGATCGAAAAAATTCAAAGCGAAAATCCTCGACGAAGATGCGTACGTCGAGCGTATGGGCAAAATCATCGAGCGAGACTTCTTTCCTGACTTGGAAAAACTGAAAGCGCAGAATGATTACTTGGAGGCTTTGGAGCAGAACGACGTGAAGAAGATGCGTGAGTTGTACGAAAAATATAGTTCCGGTCGTCCTGCAACCGAGAGAGTTTCGAGTCCTGCGACCTTTGAGACACCCCTCCGAGAGGAGCCTGGAGACGTGTCAGACAGGGAAAGTGTGATAACAAAATCAGGGAGCGCCTTGGAGACCGGTATAAGGGATAAAATTGGATTAGATGGTTTTTTGAGCACTCACACCAGCGAAGACAATGCCTCTTTCGAGGAGATGATGGAAGAGGCTGAGAAGAGACAGAGGATAAAGTATTCGTGGCTCTACGACGTCGAAGAGAAATCAAAGATACTGGCCATTGAAGCCAACAAAGTAGTGACGATTGAAAATGGAAAAACCAAAAAACCTCTCTCACTCGACACCTGGAGTTACAAGAATAAAAACTACATAATGTACGTGCCAGATGGAGTTGAATTGACCCCAGACGAGAAAGTCGAAATGGCGAAGAGGAAGCAGGAGGTGGTGCATGACAACACCAGGCTGACAGTCAATCCGTTCAATGAGAAACAGAATAAGGAGACGATTAATGAGTTGGCGAAGTCGCAGTCCAAGGCGAATGATGGTAAAATAGGAGTAGATGGAAAAGAAATTGTGAGGAATCCAACGCCTCGAGTCAATGGATTCAGTTTTGTTGCTACACCAAGTCCGAGGCCTGGAGAGTGCGACAGTCCTTTCATGACGTGGGGTCAGATTGAAGGGACACCATTCAGGTTGGACGGGGGAGACACACCCTTGTTCAGGAGTAATCAGGGGCCTTCGTTCAGGATGGCTGAGCCACCGAAGAGGGAGAAAATTGCACTGCAGTTGGCGGAAAAGGCGGGGGAGAGGCACAGGGACAGAAAGAGCAAGGCTCTTGAAGCAGCGAGACGATCTTTTGCAACGTAAGTATCTTCCTAGGAGAGAAATCCTAAATTTTAGGAGAGAATGGGGCAAAATGAAACATTCGAAAATACGACGGTTTGATGCAATTTAAGCAACAATTTTTTTTTATTAACGAAGAAGATTTTGCCAATGGATTAATTCAAAAGAAAATGAAACAGGAAAATCGAAAGTCCAGAGGAAGGCCCAGATTGGGAAAAAGGAAAATGTAATAGTGAATTTTAATGGAATCAAAAAAAAAAGTGGAATCTGCCTAATCTAATCAATTGAATTGTAATCAATAGAATTATAGGACGAATGAAACATTATTATTCTCACCAGAACTCCCAATAATAAAAAAAAACAGTTAGTAAACAAAAGTTGATAAAAAATTTTTTTTTGCTCGAATTGTGTCAAATAGTCGTTTTACAGCTGTTTGATTTTACCCCACCCTCCTTTACAATAACATCACAGAACACAACGTTATTAGTTTGCTGTGGTAATCCAGGAATTTTTCAACTCTGTTGTACTAAAATTAGAGATGCAAATGCGTCACGTGACTGAAGATGTGAGTGACAAAAATGGTAATTACATAACGGGTAATTACCGCGCCCAAAATTTGATCGTGTGGTCACACAAAAAGAGACGATTGGCCATAAGTATGAAATGACCGAATAAATTGTGACAATTTTTGAGTACTAGTCCAGCGATTTCTACACTGTTGAAAATTTTTAGCTGATTGCCAGTACACTTTTTGATCACATTTAAGGTCCATTGAAATTTCAAGGTATTTCGTTATTAAAAATTCTGAATTTCGGGACAAATCCATAAGAATTGTAAATTTTAAACATATTCTTGAATTTTCAAGTATTTCAAGATTGAGGGTAATTTGGCACTAAATATTGATGTTTTTATTGAAAACTCAAATAAATTGAAGAATTATCGTCTTCATGCTTCTTAAAATTTTGGAATTTTATCGAAGTTGCAGTGAAATCTAAAATTTCATGATTTTTTTCCCCTTAAATTACGTTCAGTGGCACTGTCCTCAAAATTCCTAGTCAATTGTCCATTAAATTTCATTTCTTCTCCAACAGTGTATCATTTAGAATGGGATCATTAATAATAATTAACAAATGTTAATAATTCAATTCTACTAACAAGTTTTTCGATCGAATTCTCAAAAAATGATCCAAAAAATGATCGAAGTAAAAATGACTGTGACGGTCATTTTGCATACAAAATTCGGTCAGGGTCAGAAAACAGTCAGAAACCGGCCATTTACGCCTGACCCGACCGAAAGGGCAAATCACGGGCATTTCACTTTTCTACACATGATCCATCGTATGACAGTCGCAATGTGCCATGAAAAAATAGCCATTTTTCATCTATATAGATGCAACTTCTTTTTTTCTTCATCAATTTTCATTTGAATGCATGTTGTATCGCCTTAATGCGCTCTTGGAAATGAATGTCGCGGGTATTTTTTATATATACAGACCAAATATTTTTGTAAATTTATGACTATCACAAATCAGAAATTAGTTGTGAGCGTCATTGTACATCCATCTAGATGGTTTAACATAAATTTGCTTACAAATTATTTGAGACCATCATCTTTAGTTAGAAAATTTCTGCATCACATGACCGTCATTTTATCTAACTGAAATTTTTTCTAACTGAAATATATTTTTAGAAATTTTTCCTTCAAAAGCAGAGAAAAAAGCTCCCATTCTCAGTAGTTCTTACTTAATTCCAGTACAACTGCACTTGACTTAAGGGGCAACAGAAAGCCATCGTTTCCTTGATATTTTCAAACAAATTTTGTATTCAAAGTTATTAATATTTTCCGAACCCAAAGTACATTGATCTTCATCGGCGCCGGCTGGAGATTAATGTGCTTCGCTTGGTAAAAAAATCGATAACTTTTGGCAGGAAATTTATTCAAAAATTGGGAAAATTTGCGGCATTCTGTTACCCCTTAACGCACATTTTCTCGTATTTGGAAAAAATCTTGATTTTAAAATTCAGAACTTTTGGGTTCTTGAAATAAAAATGGTTGGGTTTTTGAATCAAAAACTTCCTGGTTTTCAAATTAACAACATTCTCGTCCTGGAATCGATGATGTTTCCTGTTTTGAAATTTATCTACTCATGTTTATAAACTTTTTGTTATTCAAGGTATATCACCTGACACCTTGACACAATTAATGCTGAATCAATAAATAAATAAATAAAATAATGTTCAATTATGTCAGAATTTTACTTTTTTAAAATTCCATTTCACCGTATACATTTAGGTTTTTACGGTTTCTTACTTCTTCGGTCCGTTTTTTTGCCGCATATTTGTTTTTCCCAAATGCTCTTTCCACTTTTTCCAAACAATGCTTCTTTCCTGAGATATTCCCGCGCGGCCACCCATCCATCTAGTGACCACTCTCAGCGCTGTTAAAAAAAAATTCTAGCGCATTTGTTATGTTTTTCCACGAATTTTATTCGTGTGTAGAGTCATTTGGGGATCATATCGGGGGGAGGAGGAGGAGGAAGAGAAGGAAAAGATTAGTAGGCTAGACCGCCTAGTGAAGAAGAATAAAAAAGTGAAATTTCAGCAATTTTTTCAATTGATTTCAGGCCCTCACCCCGGAGTTTATCCACAATTGATCGTCTGAGTTCTATGTCACCCGCAGCAAGAAGACTGGCTACACAGAAATTGAAAATCATTAGCACCCCCACTCCACGGAGGACACCCACAAGGACCCCCTCAATAGGAGTAAAAACCCTCACCTTAACACCAAGGGTTTACACACCCAGTAGAACCCCAGAATCATCAGATAATCAGAGGCAATCGAGGGGTATTATACTGACGGATAATCTTCTCAATCTTCCACAGAGACAGCGAGCTGCAGATTTTTTTAACAAATAAAAATATAGTTTTACATAAATGTTAGAAATTTTTCTAACAGACCTATTTATATTCAATCTACCAAACTGATACCTCAATACTGACTGTTGTAAATACATTCTTCCTTGTTTGAATTCGTGTATTCATTTGATGTTATGGACCAATTTTGCGATGCATGCAGAAGTTATTGTTTCTTGAGAATTGTTGGGAGTCAAATTTACGTTAATTTGACAGTCTTATGCATTTTTATCATGAAACTGGTGGTCACTCTTGTCCTCATATTTCTGATATAGGTAAAGTATAGAGGCATATATCTAGAGCGGTGTTTGAAGCAGACAAGATTTCATTGTGATGTTTACAAGAGAAAGAAATTTTTCTAAACGCCTCCTCGCGACGGTGAGAATACTATTGGAAAAATCACAATGTCTCTCAACAGGTTATCCAGATTTGTGGATGCGAATTTCAAGATCTCATGAGATAGATATCGAATATCGTAAGGGTATATTATCACGATTAATGTAACCTTTTGTATGTAGTGACGAAAAAAATTATTTTATTCATTTAATTTACAAGTGATTTCAATTAAAACACTCAGAAAATAATGCATACTTTGGAAGGTCTCACAGTATTACAAGGGGCATTCCAAACTATTTCGATAGGCCAAAATTATTTTTGCTCGATTTTTCGATATGTTGTAGAATAGGTTCAAAAATGTCCTCAAACGCGAGGAAAAAACAGTGCGACAGAAACTATTTGACAGATTACAAATTACTGCTACGTATTTTTTTCCTCTATTTTCATTGGTAGTAGACTTCCGGATGGATCTCAATCTATCTTTTTGCTTCCGAATGGAAGCATGGTATTCATCGGATTTTGACATTCTCTAATTTTTTTTTCAAAATACTCGTCTCGATGTCTTCTATCTAGATCAATCAAAATATATATACTCGTTCATACAAAGTTTTCGAGATATTGCCGATTTTCCATTCTTATCCAAAATTCCTTGTACGCGCGATAACTCGACAAGAAATTAAGCTGGAAGGTTGAAATTTGGTATCGTTGTAACGCCCATAATACCAAAAGTTGGTATTTTGGCTGAGCGACATCGGCCCAGTAGTTCCAGAGATATTCAACTTTTTGTATAAAACTATATTGGTCAATATCTCATGAACTACTTGACCGATTTCATTTTTTTTTCAAAATACTCGTCTCGATGTCTTCTATCCAGGTCAATCAAAATATATGTACCCGTTTATACAAAGTTTTGAAGATAAGTTGAAAAAGGGAATTGCTGTGGATCCATTCGGAAGCTTACTACCAATGGAATTGGTAGAAATAAAAAATTAAAATACAAATAACATAAAGTAACAGTCACATGTCTTCTGCAACATAGGAGCGGTCAACAGCTTGCTAAAAAAAGAACACAAGGATTACCATCAATTCCTTCATTTTTCCTGGACACTCCTTGACTTTCCTAGAAATTTCTACCATTTTCGCGAGTGGCAATCCTAACTACAAGCCAAAGTTCCAAAGGGTTTCCCTGAGTTTTACCCATGTCATAATGCGCAAAGTGAATTCCAACTAAAAAAATAGAAAAACGTAAATATCTCTAAGCTTTTCAATGGGATGGTACACATATTTGTTAGATCTAGATAGATGACATCAAGACGGACATTTTGAAAAAAAAAAAGAAATGAAAGCGGATCAGTAGTTTTTGAGATATTGACAAAAGAGGTTCACATACAAAGTTGAATATCTCCGAAACTAATGGTCCGATTCCGTTCACCTACAATCCTAAACTTTGTTATCATAAGATCTAAAATCGTACCAAGTTTCAGGTTTCTACCTCAATTATTTTTTAAGTTATCATGCATACAAGCAATTTCAGTGAAAAAACTAAAAAACGAGGATAAAACTACATAGCTCGGGGTGGAATGGTCTTTTTTGGATTCAATTGAATAGGTATCATTATGACGAGTATTTTGGAATCCGTCGCATGGTTAAGAAGATATCGACAAAAAATGATTTTTGAGGAATTGCTATATCTCAGGAGCCGCTCAACCGATCAAGCTGAAATTTAGCACAAATTTGACTATCTTATATACATATACTATCATATCAACATATGTACATTGTCGAGGTGTGGACTTTCCACAAATTTTATTCATGCTATAGCGTTCAGTGAATTGAGATATTGAAATAAAAAATTCAACCACTGAAATAGAAGCTTTTCTTGAGGGGAATTGTATTTTACTTTCTTATACGGAGAGAGAAACGACAGAGTTCTGAAACAAGTCTTAGTTGTGTCAAACGATATTTAAAAAAAAATAATTTAAGAATTTTTTGTTCCAAACATGCAAAGAGTGCGCCGAGACGAAAAAAATGTATTCTTCGTGCAAACAAGAAACGTCATTCTACCCCAGTTTCTTCGTTGTTCGACACTCCCAGACTATACATATTTTGCTCCCAAAGAACGTTCTTTTTATGCGGAACAAGGGATAGTTTTTCGTTTCGGCTATGTAATAATCCCAGACAAAGAATGAATCTTTGAATGAAATAATAACAATGATATGATAGCAATTTTGTATCTTAAAAATAAAATAGTTTTAAATAAAAAAAAAGACAAAATAGTTCTTGATAAATTTCCCTCTATATGAGATATTTTCATCTTGAAAGGGTACAGTCTTGAGCGAATGATCCACCTCTTGAGTCAAACATTTCGTCGTTGCGTCGAAAGCAGAGCAAATATTCATGTTTGAAACTTCCAAATTCGAAGCAAACCATTTCTTTTTTTGGTAATTTTCAACTAATGACATTAATTGTTGGCCCAAACAAGATGTGTTTGAGAATTGGTTTCTTTTTCTCTGTATGTGTTTCCTTCGTGCAATCACAAAATGATAATTATGTGCATCCAGCAGTTTTGGAGTTGTACAAGATTTATTTTACTCATATGCTGTGGGCCACTCTGTACCCAAAATAGTGATAAATTCCCGAGGGACCATTCATTTGTGAAATTACTGTGTCGCTCAGGACTGAAATCATATGAAATCAGTTGAAATGAAGTGAAATCAGTGAAATGCTTCAATTAAAATCACTTGCAATCACTGAAATCTCATGACATCGGCAATTCATGAAACCCTTTCCAATACATAAAAGAGAAAGAAACTTTTTCGCCATATTTGAGGTGCATTGTGCTACGTATGCCCATTTACGTGTATTATTTTTCACATAGAAAAAAAAGCAAATCGGTGAAAAAAGCGTACTGTCTTACACAACCTCCTGGAATCCTCAGAAAGTATCGAAACATCGTGTGATACTGACAGAGACACTATTTGCGGAAAAAGACACAAAAACAAAACAAAACAAAAATACAACATCGACAATCGATATTTTTCTGAGAATCTTCCATTCGACGTTGGATCGCATCCAACTTGGATGTTTTAACTGCGGTAGAAATAGATATTTTATTGAATGACTGAAAAAAATTTTTTTTGATTCTCATGCCTTCATCTTGACGGATTCATCTCCACATTTACCACCCCCTTCGTAACTCTCATGCTTGAGCCTTCTTGCATTAATATGCTGCATTTCTTTCCCTCCGGGTTCTATCTTCATTCCCCCATCCTCCGCAAATAGATGAAATCGAAAATTTGAAATCGCGAAATCACCGAGGGGCTAATGACTCCAAGATCGAGTGACACCATGACTGCAGACTGCAGTCGATTTCACCTGACAACATCAGTAATTTCAATGACTGCATTGAATTCACGATTTCATTGATTTCAAGCATGATTTCTAGTGATTTCATGACTCATCATGATTTCATTGACTTTATTCGACTGAAATCAATGATTTCTACGTAATTGAAATCACTGACAACTCAATGACCCGAAATTGAAAGAATAATCGAGATCAAATAATTATTTATCAAAACGATTGATTTTATTATCATAAAACATTTAACGAACGCTTACAAATTATTATTATTTCTAATAAACGAATGAACAATACTAGAAGTACTTTTTTACTTCTCTCAAAATTTTTTGGTCAACTTTCAAGTGCCCTTCATCATTAAACGTTGGAGGTGAAATTGTTTTTCGTTATTGTTTAATATCAACATAGCCCTGAGACGTCATTGACTGCGACAGTAACGTATATGAATTTGTCTTTAGAATGTACCAACAACACAAAACACCTATATTTCTTTTGTTACCATCAATACGCACGTATGAACCAGAAAATTCTCGAACCAAAAATTCAAGAACAAGTGTAGAGCGTGATGTATTTTCGGTCGACGGATTCCCTCGTGATTTCGTGGATTTCACTGACTGCAAATGATTTCATTGTGACTTCAAGAAATGACTCCATGAATGGGAATCCCGAGATTTCTATGATTTCACTGATGTCAGCGATTTCAGTGATTTCATGGGTGACTCCAAATTGATTTCACCAGCAAGTGACACCATGATTTCAGGAGTTACTAGGCCGTCAGAAATCACAAAAAAATCCAAGGCAACCACATGAAATCATGGAAATCTCCCAGAAATCACGTGTAATCAGCAATCACTGTGTCACCAGATTTCTAAATGATTGTGCCCCTCCTAAACTTCAGATTGAGATAGAGGTCTGTAGTGCAAGTGATAGCGACCACTTGAAATGAATGTTATCTAAATTCAAAAAAGAACGGAACCACTCTCCACTTTCAATCATATAGAAGACTTCAAATTTACTTTGGTCAAATGCCATAGAACATCCTGTACAGTAACGTAGGGGCACTGATATACGACTTTTTTCAAGAACTTCAGCAACGTCGAAATTCTGCATTAAAGAATTGGGGTAGGATCAATTCTGCTCTGTTAGCCAACACAAATCTATTCAAAAAGTATTGATATCCCTTTCGGAGGGCGTCCCTCTCTTTTTCCATTCCTGTCCATCGGTCGTGGTTCCTTTGCACGTCGAGTTTAACGCCGCCGTCATTTTTGAACTTCATCAATGAATAACACGTTAACCATCGTCTCTTTCACCCCTTAAAATTTAGGTCACCCATTTTGGGGCACCCTGTATAGTTAAGATCGATAATGAAACCATGAAGGAGGAAATGCTCTCAGAAAGCTCAATGAACAAGTATTTGATT